AAAAGTTTTCAGGCAGGGCATCTAGGCATTCTGGTGGGGCATCTAAGCATTCAGAGGGGGCATCTAGGCATTCAGAAGGGGCATCTAGGCATTCAGAGGGGGCATCTATGCATTCAGGTGGGGCATCTAGGCATTCAGGTGGGGGCATCTAAGCATACAGGTGGGGCATCTATTAAAGCATTCCAGTGGGGCATCCAGGCATTCGGGTGGGGCATCTAAGCATTCAGGTGGGGCATCTAGGCATTTAGAGGGCATTCAGGTGGGGCATCTAAGCATTCAGGTGGGGCATCTAAGCATTCAGGTGGGGCATCTAAGCATTCAGGTGGGGCATCTATGCATTCAGGTGGGGCATCTAAGCATTCAGGTGGGGCATCTATGCATTCAGGTGGGGCATCTAGGCATTTAGGTGGGGCCTTCTAGGCATTCAGGTGGGGCATCTAAGCATTCAGGTGGGGCATCTAGGCATTCAGAGGGCATTCAGGTGGGGCATCTAAGCATTCAGGTGGGGCATCTAGGCATTCAGATGGGGCATTTAGGCAATATGTTTCATCAACACCAATAATTGTCGCCTGGCTCAACTATAGTCAGTCATGTAATTTTACCTGAACAGTGTCCTTGTTAAAGGTGAGAGGAATGGAAGATTGATACTACATGGTACATATGGTTTCATACTCAGTGAAATGGTAATAACAGGTAATATTAGATGATAAAAATCACTATCATTGTAATAAGAGTCCCAAACAATATAATCATCAAAACATCAAAACCAATTTCTGACTCAATGCTAAAAATACTGGTGTGGTTCACCATGCAAACTAAGCACAAGTGGCAGTTAGCAATACTTGAAGGCACAAACTAACATGTGACAGCTCCTGATTTCATTTGTGTTTACACTTATATTTGTATATTGTTTATAAAATGTGATTTTTTTTTTTTTTAAATTACCAAATTGCAAGTTCCTTGCATATTTTATTGATTCTATCGATTGAAAGTCATGCCAGGGAATGCAAATAACTGGTTGCATCACGAAAAATTCTCTGGACATCTGTTATGCATCATATAGACTTTTACTGAAAATCCACATTCTGAATTTCTCACTTGTTGGCAATTCCTACCTTGATTTGGGAGACCTGTATTCGTGGTTGTATTTGTGAATGGACCATCTATCATTTCCCGCTCTTCATTCCCGTCCAGTTCCTCATTTGATGGAATGCTTGCCAAGTTCAGTCGTCCATAACTTCGGAAGTTTGCAGTTGGGTAGCGCTGATTAGGAGATACAGTCGTTAATGGAATTTGTTCAAGCGGGATGTCTTCAATGTATGGCTCGTTAATATCAGGGAAAACCAGCGTAGGCCTTTCAAGGGATGGATTGTCAGAAAGGTGTGGATGGAGAGGTATATCAAATGAGTTCTCCTGGGAATGCTGTCGAATCCAGGCTGAATGGAGATCTGATTGAACTGCTGTTGGGAAAATGTGTGCCTGGATTGTCACAGCGGGACTGGGAATCACAGAGTGAATGGTAGATGGAATGCTGATGAATGGGTTGAGAAGTGATGCATCAGGCTGTGTGGACTGTGGATATGCTGGAGCTGCCTGAGGAAAGCTGGTGGGTGGGGTGGAGACCGGGGAATCGGCCGAATGCTGCTGATGAAGCTGGAACATCTGTTGCCGTTGATGTTGGTGCAATGGTTGCGAATGTGGGAATGGGTCGGAATATTGCATCTGAGGAAAGCTTATGGAATGAGTTGGTGGGGAAGGGCTTGACTGGGAATGTTGTCGTACATTCGTGAAATTAAGTCTCATTGCGTTATTATCGTTTTCATTACACTGTCCTCCATAGTTCATGTGATTCGTCATTTGACAGTCAGGTTGGGCATGCACTTGTCCAGTCACAATACTGGGCTGGCAGCTTGGGGTAGTTTGTCCAATCATGACATTTGTGTGTCCACCAGGTGCGGCTTGACCAGTGACAATACTGGCTTGACTCATTGGAATAGCTTGACCGGTCACAATACTTGCTGTTTGGGTTGGCAAAGGATGATTAACCAGCGGTGGAGGTGACGGCTGATTTTGACGCTGCAACATTTGGAAGTTGGTTGCAGGTGGAGGACTTGTACGACTACCATAACTTGGTGGACTGTTTGTTTCTCTGTGCAGTTTCAGTCGTTGGATGTGTTGGTACAGATGCTGAGCTTCGGGGCTTGGCGATGCAGATTTTGGCGGTGATGGTAATGGCGGCGTTCCCTGACGTTGAAGTTTTTGATGCTATGGGTTGAAGATGCATAAGAAATCAGTTACAATTTTGATTTTTTGTATTTATTTTGTTAATTTTTGCTCAATGGACATAATATTTGATTGCCTGCAATAAATTTGTCTACAGATATTCAAAATTGGATAACAAATAAATATGTTTGTTTGTCTTAAATTGAAAAAGTCAGTGAAGTAACAAAACATAAAATCACCTTCCTTCATTACGGCCTTTATACAAAAGTTTAATTGACTAAACTGTGGTCACTTTATACATATATTGCTACTTTTGAGTCAGAATGCATGAGTTTAGATCTTTTTCCTGCTTATACATGTCTACTAACAATCATGAATATTAGTAGAATAAGATTTTTATATTACACTGGACAAGATTTCAGTATAATTCTCTTATGAAAGTTGACAAGATTACATGTTTTAAAGCCATGAGTCTTCAAAGCAACTATCAAGGGGTAATTCAAAATGTTTGTGACAATACGTCATTTCAAACCAGACCAGAATGTTATTCTTGGGGGGCATACATCTTAGCATTTAACGCTTGGCAATCTTGGTAAAAACAAAGGCCAAAAACTCTCAGAAAACTAGTTTGGGATAGTTGTTGAGACTCCCCTGAACAGTGTAACACAATTACCCCTGCGTGTGTAACATATATAAATTTGGTTGTTCAGTATTACTGTGAAATACTTTATTTTCGCTGGAAAATTAATTCCAAGCGAAAATAAAGTATTCTACAGTACTTCAAAGTTGAGTTTCTGCTGTTTCTTCAATTTTACCTGTTTTCACCGGCTTGTGCAGAAACCATGGAAATAAATAGTACAGTTGTGTGCGTCTAAGCAACGTACAAATGTAGAATGTTTTGGAATGTAGCTTCGCCCTCGAGAATATGTAATATGTTAGCATACAAGATTAATAGCTCCACCAATGTTTTCATACATTGCTAAATTTTGGTGGGCCATTCAACTAAATTAACCATAATGCATGGGTGCAATCCGAAGAAGCAGCGTTTTTAAAATATATTGAGTTATTCCCCATCCACAATCTCATTATTAACGAGATATGAACTAAGCAGTGGATGATCTCTTCAAGATTTTCAAATAAATAAATGTAAAAATGTGTAATTGATTTGTTATACTGACCTGCATTATGTCATGGTCTAGTTTATGTAAATGTTGTTGCATTTCCATCTGTTCTTTGTCAGGAGGATTACCAATCTGATGCTGTATTTGTTGACATTCCATGTACAGTTGTTTTAATGAACTTTGCCGTGACCTTTCCAAATACGCTCGAAATGCATGAATGTTTGCAGGTGAGCCATCAGACGCTCTCCTGAGAAACCGGTCGTTCGGAAGATGTAAACTGTTTTTGCTACCTTTCTCAATTGGAAGATAAGTACCGCGTCCTCGTACTCGGCCTAACGGGTGTTGTGCAAGTTTCTGTTGGAGTTCTTCACTCAAGTCTGCTGTCAACTCTCCAGTACCAAGCGTATGCCTTGTAGTTCGTCCTCTGTTTTTAAGATACCTAGAAAAAAAGAAACAGAAAATACTCTCAAACATTTTATTACATTGTAGATATAATAGGAGATTCTTTATAGCTCTATGTTGTAATGCAAATATTTGAGAGAGGAATGTTTTGTTGAGATACCTTCCTTTATCAAAATTGACTTATCAAAAATATATAGCACATTATTAAACGTAAAAATACTTTGTCAACTTTAGTTTGTTTTGTTTTTCTGTTCGATTTCATGCATAACTGAGTAATTAACATGCAAATTGGGTAACACACAGATTTCAACCCAAAACTAATCAGCTCTGAGAATTATATTACATTAAAAAATCATATTTTTTCTTTCAGAAAAGTGGACTACTCAGCAAGCCCTGAATCCATCTCACACTCAAAACCAGAGATAAACCTACATTGATTTAAAATTATGGAAAAGGGGTGAAAGAAAGCCAGTGATAGTGCCTTCAATAGGCCAACAAAACATTACTTTTTATTTTTATTGATTTCTAAGCCTGGTTTACTAAGTTTTGTACTTGTTTTGTTACCTTGCCACTTCTAACGGATCTGGTTCTTGATCTGAATCATTTTCTTCATTCTCCTCGGGTGTTACACCCACTGCGGACATTCTCTGAGGTATTGTTGACCCAACAGGAGAGATCTGAAATACATCAAAATAATAGCTGAACTACCTGTATTTATATTGGACTCTTCCATAATTAATGGTTACATTATTTTTGAATTTGTTTTAAAAAATTTAGCTTATATTTACGATTGAAATGTCAAATTGAGAATTCTGTTTTTAACCTTCTCCCCACCAGATTTTCTTGCCCAAATTTGTCTGCACTTTTTTCTTATATATTTGGAGCCAACAGACAAAAGTGCAGTCAATTTCCAGTTTTTACTCAAAAGATTTGGCTATTTTTGTACCAAACTTCTGAATGAATGTGCAGACTATAACCAGAAATATTTTGTGATTTTTTTATGAAAAGAGGGAAGTGTTGATGAAAAGGTTAAAGTTAACAGATGCACTGACTATATTTCCTGAAAATAGATTAGCTGCTTATTCACATTTAATAAATCTTTGATAGCATGATGCTTTCCACTCAACATGTCACTATCACTTTCCCCCTTTGATGTTTTAAGCCCCAATTATGGCAAACTTTTTTTGCCTGTGTACGAGACCAAAACTTCACTTCACAGCTAAACTGATTGAAATGTATCATTTGATATGGCATAAAAACAATGATGAAAAAATATGGAAAAATATGAACGCTATACTTTCTCCCGCCAAAATTTAAATAAAATATTATATAAATTTAATTTCTATAATTTCTTAAAAAATTTTTAAACAAATTGACATAAATCCAATTTTAAAAATCAAGCAGCCTCTTGGAAAAGATAGCTCCACTGTTAGCAATGCACATTTCAATTAAAGAATTGAAGATCTTATCACAAAATGAACAAATCTGAAAGAGGTTCACCTGCAGTGCCTATTTATATAAAAAGTATCACTTTTTACCAAAATTGACAAAAATATTCATCAAAATTAGAGAATTGGGGACATGATCATGAAATGAACAAATTTAAATGAGGTCTACCCAAGGTACATATACACTAAGTATGAAATCAATCAGGCTTGTAGGTTTCAAGAAGAAGTCGAAAAAGTAAAAAGTTGCCGCGAACGACAGACAATCACTCATTTGTCAACAGCTGAGCTACAAATTAAGCAACCTTAATAATTTCAAATTATAGCACAGTTGTCACACTTAAAATAACACTTAAGTGAAGAGACTAAGCTTTGAGTTTTAGCTAAATTATCCTGTTTCTTACCTGTTGTGTTGCTTCTGTTTGAATCGTACCAGGTTGACTACCCCGACCAGAGAGTAGCTGTTTTTGTAATTGCTGTAAATGAAGGTGTATATTGGCACCACCGTCAGATGCTCTGCGGTTTAAGTGGCTGTGCTGCGAAGTCATCTGAAGTACTGGAGGGCGGAGTAAATTCTGTTCCTAAAAAATTCATGATAAACCTGCTTTAACTGCGGAGTATCATTTATTCATGGTTTGGACTGCATAGACCTTGCGTGAAATAAACTTACTATATTTACAAACATGTGATAAAAACTATACTGTGAGCAAATTGCATGAGCGTTTGGAATACTGAGAAATGGTGAAAAAACATTACAACTGATGCTTTTGAAAATGAATTTCAAAAAGCAATGATCATTTATAAGAATTTCTAATAGATTTTCCCCTTCCATGATTGTTCAAAAGTGTAACATGTCACATGACTCAAATACTCCAAACTCAAATCATATCATGAAAGGAGATACAGACACATCAGAGTTGATAAAAAGATGCTCCCAAGTTATACAAGATCAGGTATACCCATCAAAGAAGTTCTAAAAAGGTGCTGTAAACATTGCAAGAGGAAGACCAGTCAAGGTTGTAAAATAATGCTTTAACGCAAAGTTGTATCATGAAAAGTGAAGTAGAAGATACTTACCCTGTAAGTTAAATGCTGTGAAGGATCGTATGGGATTGATGCAAACGGGAGATTCTGTGGCAAGTTTGGCAAATTTGTATCATGAAAAGTGAAGTAGAAAATACTTACCCTGTAAGTTAAATGCTGTGAAGGATCGTATGGGATTGATGCAAACGGGAGATTCTGTGGCAAGTTTGGCAAATTTGTATTTGGAAATATCGGAGCAAATGTGTTAAGAGGGGCTCCGAAGTTATTAACTGCTAGCTGGGGAGTCAGCTTCAACTGAAGATCTTCCGGAACCTCCGTTCTGGGATCTGCCACACCTAGTGTGTGACGTCTCATCGATAAGTAGCGGGCCAAGGCTTCAGGAGATGGTTCTTCGATATCATCCGTCTCTTCCAAGTCAGTGTGTGATCCTATTGGCTGTAAGTAACAAAATTACAATTTTCTGAAATCAAAAATGTTATGGAAGTGTGTCTCCATATGTGGTGCAAAAGTTTTCGATAAAACTAAATATATACTAAATACTGTAAATACTGTAAGGTTATTACGAGGATACCGCAAAGTAGGCACAAAGACAGTACAGCGGGAATATCAGACAGTGTGCAGCTGAGGCCGATGTGACAGCAAACTGCATACTTTAATCAGGTATCAAACCCTAGGGCTGCCATGTTTTTATTATTAGAGAATGCTTAATTTTGTAATGATTCCATATTTGGAATTCACATTTCCTAATATGGTAGGCTGAAAATACCCAATGCAATATCACAAAATTATGGTATGCTGTAAACATATGGTGTAACGATACATCTTTCATGTATAATAATTCCAGCTAAGGCCAGACTTTTTTTATTCCTTGCTCCGCGAGTTTTTATAAGGCAATTTTTTTGAGGAGGGCGTAAAAAAAAAAAATTAATTCTTTTTTTCCAGTAGATTTGTGTGATTCTCAAAGAAATGTAAGTGAGATCATTGATCACAGAGAAGAAATGAAATAAAATTTTATTCCTTGTATAATCTTGTTTCTCATCTGCGCAAGACTTCGGTACTTTGATCATGATACTCCCATGAAAATGCAACTTGGATTTGTTATGCGGCGGGCATTAAAAATATGAAGATAAAAATAATATTTTTTTAGCATTTTTTTGCACTTACAAGTCGACGGGCGCGAGAAATTACGCTGAAATAAAATTATATTTTTATTTCATTTTCGGCTCCTGTTCATTCGGCGGGTTCGCAAAACAAGGCATAATAAAAGTCTGGCCTAAAATAAAGTATTTTACAGTAACAAATTAAGTATGGAAATACCCAAATAAATAGTTCAACACCACTAC